AATAGCGTAGCTTTAAGTCTGGCAGTGCTCCATGTGATTAACAGATTTCAAAGTTCGCGACAAGACGGGGCTTGCAAAGCAATAATTGGAAATATTGAGAATTCAAAATTTTGTAAAACTCAGTCATATTCTTTCGAGGCAACAATTTCTAAACTTATTTCTTGCATTATCTCTGTAACCGCGTTTACTACTGACTGTATTAAGCCTGCTAATAGTTGGAACATATTTCTAAATAATCATGAAACATTCAGTGTACTGTAGATGGGAAAAAATTCAGTCCACTCTGCCTTGCTGATAACTTATCGATGAGAAATTACGAGTCAAGCCAATTGAATTTTTTTACGGTATACCATGTTCGAATGAGTCATATGATACCTAAGAGCTGTTGGAAGCCCTAAACTTCGAGCAATCATTGATAAATTAGTAACTACTACAGATATTTGCTCACTTTTACAGACCCAAACTCTTTAGACATTCTGTTCATTAAATCCCTCACAAGAGTGAAGGATACAAGGCCATGGCGGTACGGAAAGGGTTGCATGTTGGCAGATGTAGCTTGGAACTGTAACTCCAAATCTGTCTTTTGCCCTTGCGAAACATTTCTGTGGTATTTAGGAGAAGCTAATACAACAAGCAATGGGCTATCTTAAACAGAAGGCATATCGATATTCAGCATTCGTGCTACTCTCTTGAATCATGGTTGAACTTTTGAGCATTTTAATCCAGTTAAGCTTTTCAGCAGAAAAGAAAAATGTCCAGTTCTTTCAGTGAAACGCCTCGCCAATATGGAAGATATTTAAAACGAGCGTTTCAAGCTGCACTTATCACTGTTTGCCTTATTTTAAATCGTCACTTCGAATATCCTTTCCTTTTAATAGTGTTCGTATATGAACAGAAAGTGATCACTGTTTAGACAATTTGTATTGTATTGTTGAGTATCTTTGACTACTTATAACTATGATCGATGTGTTAAGTGCGCAAACAAGTGTAAAAAGAAAATGCACCATTTGTGTAAACACAATAAGCACCCAAAAAATGCGTCCACCGTTTAAACATTAATATTTCCTTAATTTTCAGACCTTTTCCAGAACTGAATGGTTTGATTCGATGACCTAGTTTGAAGCTAAGCTTGCGGATCTTAGCGCT